CTTGACAAATGAGAAAGGAGTGTGGGAGCCGTATGGCTTCCCAATTCCTGTCTGGAGGGAGTAACACTGGGAGGGAGGCCAAGGCAGGGCCCGTGGTTTGCTGAGTTGAGCAGACGGAGCTGCTCGCTGAGGCCAGTTAGCGAGAATGGTGGAGAAGAGAGAACTGCCCAGAATGCTCTCTGGAACCCGTGGGGGGAGACGTCCCTGAGTCTTCAACGTGCTGCCTGTCGATGTGCACGTGCTCATGAGGACGTGCTGGGATGGGGCCTCCCGAAAGGACCTGAAGGGGCGCTTGCCGAAACCCCCCCTGATGCGGGAAGAGCTCCTGTTGACTCCAGCCCAAGCAGACAGGTGTCCTTCGTGGGCCATGGCTGGAGTGTGCAGAAGGGCGTGCTCCGGCGACAGGGTTAACTTAGCCCTCGACTGCAAAGAAACAGGAAAATAAAATTCGTAGCGGTCCCTTGAAACTGATTCAGAAATTGCACAGATGGTAAAATTTGTACAAAATCATGAAGACAGGTACTCAACTATTTTATGTACTCAAGAAGCTAGAGAAAAGATGGAATGTGTTAAGTAGAGACATTAAAAAGAGCTAAATTGCACAAAGAGTGACAGCAGATTTGTTGCTAGAAAATGCATGTCAGAAGTCAGTGGGACATCATTTGTAGAGGAAGGAAAACCCCTGGAACTGCACGGCCAGTAAATAAATCTGTCTCAAAACAAAGGTGAAGTAAAAACTTTTTCAGACACAGAAAAGCTGAAATAATTTATGTCCAGCTGGGACTTCAAGAAATATTAAAGACGGTGTTTCAGGTAGGAGGAAAGGAAAATAAGATCAGAGAGAGATCTGGATCCACACAGAGAATTAAAGAGCAGGCAAACGGTAACTATGGTGCTTGGATAGAAGACTTTCTGCCCTCGTTTGTCATCTCGTTAAAAGTTAATTGATCGCTTACAGCAAAAATGATAACCGTGTACTTTGGGCCTTATGACATGTAGAAGTAAAATGTGGGGCAACACCAGAATGAAGGCTGGCAATAGTTTGTGGTAGGCAGAGTAATGCCTCTGCCCCCCAAATTTAACAGGTCTTACTCCCTGGAATCCTGTGTGAGAGTACCTCTAGGGAAAGAGTCTTCAAAGATTTGATTAAGTTAAGGATTGTGAGATGGAGAGATTATCCTGGGTTGTCCAGGGGGACCGTAAATGTAGCCACATGTATCCTTGTGAAAAGGAGGCAGAGGGAGATCACACGCGCGCACACACACATACACGCAAGGCGATGTGAAGCTGGAACAGAGACGGGCTTGAAGATGCTGGCCTTGAAGATCAGAGGGAGGTGGCCACAGGCCAAGGGATACTGGCTGCCACCAGACCTGGAAGAGGCAAGGAGTCCTTTGGAGCCTCTGGAGGGGACACAGGCACTGCCAATACCCTGATTTCGGCCCAGCGATACTGATTTCGGACTCCTGGCCTCCATAACTCTGACAGGGATAAACGTCTATGGTGTTAAGCCACCCAGCGTCTAGCAGTTTGTTACAGCAGCCACAGGAAACAAATCCAGTACTGTTGTAAGTTTCTCTGCTGTATGTGAAGTGCTGTCATGTCATTAAGGCAGGCTGGGATCAATTAGAGATGTATACTATAAACCAGGTAACAATTAAAAGCACAACAAAGAGTTACGGCTAATAAGCCAAAAAAGATAAAATGTCATCCTAAAAATACTCGACCCCAAAGAAAGCAGAAATAGAGAAAAAGGCAAATAAAGAGCATCTGGAGTAAGTAGGAAAGAACCAGTGTGATGGTAGATTTAACTCTAGTTCCACCAATAACGACATTAGACATAAGAGGCAGGTTTTCCAGATCCAATGAAAAACCAAGACCCTGTGTAACCTGCGCACGATAAACCGTTTTAAACATAAGGTGCAAATAGCTTAGAAGTAAAAGCATGGAAGGGCCCACTCACCATACTAACACTCTGATCAGATGAAAGCTGGGTTGCTTTTGCTTATGTTCATGTCAGACAGTGGATTTCTAAGCAAAAGCTATTACCAGAAATAGAGTGGTCATTTTATAATGATGAAGGCATCAGTTCATCAAGGGAGCATAACAATCCTAACCGTTTATGTTCAGAATACATGAAGCAAAACCTGATTGAACTGCAAGGGGAAATAGACAAATCCACAATTATAGTCAGGTTCCAGGAGCTTCTCTTAAAAACTCTTTGAGCACGTAGACCTAAAATCTGGATCTAGAAGACTTGAACAATACTATCCACCCTTATGGGCCTGATTGGCATTTATAGACACCCCACCTGGAATAACAGAAGACACATTCCTCTCTAGTGCTCACAGGACGTTTGCCAATACAGGCCACATAATAAGCCTTAAAATAAGCCATAAAATAAGCCTGAGGGACTCAGTTATTTGAGCGTCCGACTTGGGCTCAGGTCATGATCTTGTGGTTCGCGAGTTTGAGTTTCACATTGGGCTCACTGCTGCTGTCAGTGCAGAGCCCGCTTCTGATCCTCTGGCCCCTCTGTCTCTGTCCCTCCCTCCTTACACTCTCTCAAAAATGAGTAAATATTAAAAAAAAAGTCTTTAAAAGGATTCATACAAGTATGCTCTTTGACCTCAATAGGATTAAGTTGGAATCTGATCCAGAAAGATAGTCTGGAAAACAGGTAACATATTTCCACCCATGGGTCAAAGAGAAAGTCAAAGGGGAAATTTGAAAGTATTTTGAATTGATGAAAATAAAAACAAAAGATTTCAAAAGTTGTGGTATGCCGCTATGACATATCCAAGGGAAATTTATAGCTCAATGCCGATTTTGGAAAAAAGAGAAAGGTCTCAAATCAATGCCCTTAGCTCCCATGTCAGGAAACTTGAAAAACAAGAGCATGTGAAACCCAAATTTATCAGAAGAATGGATATAAAGATAAGAGCAGAAGTTAGTAAAATCGAAAACAGAGAAGTCTGCAGTAACTCAAACCTGAAGTGAGTTCTTTGAGAATGTCGGTGAGATTAATCAGACTGACTGGCCAGGTAAGAAAGAGTGCAGTCACAAATGACCAGTACCTGGGGTGAGGGAGATGATTTTCGTGTGGGTTCTATAGATATTAAGAGGATTAGATGGGAGTATTGGGAAAAACTTTATGCCGGTAAACCGGACAATTTAGGTGAAACGGACAGGTTTCTTAAAAGACATTTCTAAACCTCTCTCAAGAAGGAACCTATAACCTCATTAGCCCTGTATCTGTTTTATTAAATTATTAAAAATCAGTATTCGATTTAGTTATTGGAGAACTTTTAAGCATGGTTGGAAATGGTATATGAACTTATTTTTTTCTTTTAATTGAGACATAATTGACCTACGACACTGTAAGTTTGAAGTATAGCACGATGGTTTGATACGTTTATATATTGCAATGTGATTGGTGTCAGCTAATACCTTTATCAAGTCACATAATTATTGTTCCTTTTCTGTGTTGAGAACAGTTAAGATCTGGTCTCATAGCAATTTTGAAGTTTATAATATAGTATTATGGACCGACTGTAATCACTATGTTGTGCATTAGATGTTCAGAACTTATTTATTACTTGAAAGCAAACTTTTTCATCTGTGGGTTTTATGAAGTCTAAACACAGATACAGTATGTCTGATGAAAGTTTTGTGTCTGAATTGAGATGTGCTCTAAAGAAAAGATTGTTAAGTAGACAGTAATTTTTCCATATTGATTACATGTTGAAATAGTTATATTTTGGATATATGGGATGAAATGACGTGTTATTAAAATTAATTTTGTTTTTTCTTTTTCTTTTTGACGTGTGCCCCAGAAACTGTAAAATCACACGTATGGCTCAGGCTGTGTTTCTGTAGCCAACGCTGCTTGGAGCGGCCGTGTCCGTGTCCGGAGGCCTTTCCTGCTGAGCCCTTTTTTCACAGCTGTGTTCCCCACAGATGAGGTCTGAAGTCGCGCTGGGTGGCATGTTTTGTTTCTTGCCTGTATTTGTCGGCCGTTGTTAAGATGGTCCCCTGGTTTCTCTTAGGCTCATGGTCCTGACCGTTGGTAGGAACCACGATGAAGTGAGAAAGGGGGAGAGGACCTCCGTCTCCGAGGACTCTAGGGGGAGACCGGGAAACAGTCGGAGTTTGAGTCTTCAAAGATAGCGGCATTATTCAGGGGCTGTGTTTGGGCTGGTGGTACTTCACGGTGCCGGGAAATCTAGTCCAGTACACGGCCCACCAGCTTTTCTCTGCCGCGGCTGTGCTTAGCCACATGGATCACGACAACGCAGACAGACGGTCTCAGTCAAGCATTTTAAAATCATCTGCGAGTGTTACATAGACTCCCGTCTTTGCGAGACTGGGACAGAGCAGCAGAAAGCACAGCCTGCCCGTGATCGTGTGTCGTCTTACGGTGAAATGTGGTTATACTTTGGAACACATTGGAAGCAAGAATAAAAAGGAGTAAAAGAGTCATATTGGTATACTGATTTTCAGGGTTCCAAGAATACTGTCAGCAAGAGTAGAAGTAACTTGTTGGCAGAGAGTGGCAGATGGCTGTCTGGGAGTGAAGCAGTATCTTTCTTTCCTCTTTTTTATGGAGTTCAAAATACATACAAAACAGTGGTTTTTTGAGGTTGATTTAACTAAAGCTTTAAAAAAATGAAATTTGTCTTACAATTTTTTTTTCCAAATAAGCTTTTAAATTTTAGAATAGTTTTAGACTTAAAAAAAATTGTAAAGATGCATAGAGAGTTCCCCTCTACCTCACATCCGGTTACCCCAGTTCTTAGCATCTTACGTTACTGTGGTATGTTTTTCACAGTTGATGAATCAGTGTTAATGTACTTATTAACCTTCATTTTTATGTAATGTCGTTTTACTGTTCCAGCGTCCTGTAGAGGACACCAGATACCTCATTGCATTTCATTGTCATGTCTTCTAGGCTCCTCTTGGCCGTGACAGCCTCTCTCTCTCTTTTTTTTTTAACTTAGAAATTCTCCAGAATTTCAGAAACTTCTGGGCATCGCTATGGAACTCTTCCTGCTGTGCAGTGATGATGCGGAGTCGGATGTCAGGATGGTGGCTGACGAGTGCCTCAACAGAGTCATAAAAGTAAGCCCCTGTGAGCCGTGCTCTCCCAGCTGCGATGTGGCCGAGAGAACAGACCGTGTTTGGAGGGGCGGAGTCGCTCTGGATGTCCGCCGTCGTTCTTTCGCGGTTGCCAGCCTGCCTGTCGCCCCTGCTGACTCAGAAGGCCGGGTGTGTGCCTAAGTCACAGATGGGCTGTACTGGCAGCCGTCGGTGTTCTTGGGGAAAATGTCACTACAGACACCAGCTTCTGTGTGGGCTGAACCTCGAGCAGCCACAAGGCCCTGGGAGGGCAGGGGACAGGTGAATGCAGTCTGTCTGTGGTGCCTCTAGCTTCCCTTCCTTTGTCTGCTTTCCCTGTCCTGCGGAGACCTGGGTCGGGCAGTGCTGTGTGCCCATAAAGACGTGACTTCTGTCCCAGACCGGCTGGGGCTGGTGTGGTGGCACGGGGTGGAAGGAGTTCCCAAGGAGGGACGGCAGAGCCGGAATGCCAAAGCATTTGGGCTACAGGCAAGCTGAGGAGCAGGGAGGGGACACCTGTCTTCTTCTGTCACTGCTTCCTGAGGCCGACTTTGTGCCCAACATCACCAGAGCTTCAAGCTACTCTTCTTCTTTTTCTGTTCTCTGCTGCCTTTGAAGATAAAGGCCCTCTTCCACAATTCCTAATGTAGTGGAAAACTGTCCTTGTTTTTGTCATTCTGCCCTTCTTCTAGTGTCCCCAGCCCATCCCGGTCACTTCTCCTAGGCCACCTTTGAGTTTGTGGACGGGCCTTATGGGTTGTGTGTCCATACTTAGTCTCCCACCATAGGCCGTGGGCACCGAGGATGGGTCTCTGACACGGTTCTGGACACTTCCTCCAAAAGCCATTTCTTGGTAATGGTTCAGGAAAAAACGTACCTTGTTTCCTTCCCTGCAGGGGTCCTTGTTTTGTGGACCTTTCTGGTTTTCTTATTTTTTTCTTATTGCCTTCAGTTCCACTCGTGACACTTAGATAAGCCTTTGAGAAGAGTCTCCGTCTCTTGGTTTTCCGTGGAGGCTCTTTTCCCGGTGATGCTCACCTGGCCAGATGGACCAAGGACCCCGAGCTAACATAGGCTAGTTGAGTATTTCCCGTCTCGTTAGGGTCTTGATAAATCAAACTGTCCTTTGGAGTCTTTCCCGGGGCTTTCTCTGCAGCGTGGTCGCATTTTACGTTGGCCGAGCAGTTATCCTTCCTTCCTCCTTCACGGATCCAGCCTTCCTCCGGGAGAGGATCACCCCCCTCCTGCTACGTTCAGGGAGACGGAGGCACTTTACTGGGCTGATAAAGCATACGTGGATTTTGGGGTGAAGGAGAACTGCTTTTGAGCCTTTCCTCTGTCCCCTACCAACTGAACAGCTATGAGAAACATATGTAAATCTGTGAGCCTCGGTTTCCTCACCTACAAAGGGAATCAGACAAGGTTTGGTGGTGTGCAGGAGTGTGTGTGTGTGTGTGTGTGTGTGTCTGTGTGTGTCTGTGTGTGTGTGTGTGTGAGGGTCAAAGGTGGTGGTGTAGGTGACGTGCTCAGCACCATCCTGGCCCCTCACTGGTCCTCCAGGTGGCAAGAGGTGTAGTCTTGTAATGATGAGATTCTCACATTCTCACCCCAGGAGACTGAGGGGCATGCGAGCGCACCAGCTGCCCTCTCTGCCGTCACACAGACTCCGCCGTCTTCAGGAATCCTTCCCTTCTGGGAGCGTGTTGTTTCTTGGCTGGCATGCTCTCTGGGCTCGGTAGCCACGGCGCCCAGCTCACTCTGTCAGGAGCAGCCTTAGGGAGGCCCTCCCCCATCTCTGGGCAGCCACCCGGTCTTCTCCTTCCGCCTGCACCCCCTGCTCTCGCTCGCACCCCGCCTCCCACTGCGACATATGCCCAGTGGCCAGGTACCCTTGCTCCCTGTGCCGCGTGACCCGTCGGCGACACGTGCGTGGGGTCCCGCAGCGTATCTGCAGATGGCCTTTTTCAGTTGTGTTCACTTCCCTCCAGGCCTAAATATCCTGGCTTGCTTCTTTTATTCCTGCAGGCAGGGCCAGGCTGGGCTTTTTCTGATATTTCAGTTCTTAAATCTGATGCTTAGAATCACAGCACCTAAAGAGGGCACCATGCCTTGGTTCATGGCAAGAGGGAGACTTAGGAGGGCAGAGGGGACAGTGTGGCCCCAGAGTGCTCTGAGTTGACCATTGGACACGTAAGCTTTGTTCCATTTTTAAGCCTGTCCTCTTCAGTGACCTGTTTCTAAGAGCCGCTGGACAGAATAGCTTGGTGAACGTGTGGTGGTTGTCGGCCGTGACGCTGGCTCGTGACCTGAGGCCTGGCCACCTCCCTACTTTTGTCCCATTTCCTCTGTGTCAGGCCTCCCAGGGCAGAGGTTCAAAGATTTCCTGTTATGTCCCTGGACGTTAAGACGAGGTCAGCCTCTCTCAACTTCTTTCTGCTTACAGTCGGCATGGTGAGGTTTGGCTGCACTCGGATCCGTGCCTCCCCAGATGCTCTGGTCTGCAGGTTCAGCAGGCTGGGACGGGACCAGGTCTGGCTTGATTTGCTGTCACTGCGGCAGAGGAAGGACAGGCTTGGGAGCCCGCGGACGACCCCTCGGCTCGGTGTCAGGAAGGCAGGAACACAGACACCGTCACCGGGAGTCACGTCCTGGGCTTTGGTCTTCTGTTGAGTATTGCTGTGCTTCTCATGAGGACCGGGCTCAGCGTGGCCTAAGCAGTGGGATGCGTGGTGCTTTTCATTTATGTAGGAAAATGCCCGGCGTGGCCCAACAGCATGCTCCTGCCTCGTGACTTTCAGTCTCAGGTGGAGAAGCATCTTTTTACAGAAACAGTTCAGTACATGGCACAGACTCTAAGTTCTGAGAGACGTCGGCAACTCCTCATGGCAGGCAGGAGCTCGAGGTGACTTCGTCTGGGGAGGCAGAGAAGGCTTCCTGGAGGTGGTGGTGAGTGAGGAGATGGGGGGCTTCTTGACCACTGCACAGCTGCCTCTAGGAGGCGCAGGAAGCCTCTGCAGGCTCTCAGAGGAGGGTGGCTCCGGTGTGTGTCATCGGAGAACGGGGGTGTTGAGGGCCAGTTCCGAGGGTTTGTACTTCATTTGGTAGAGGATGAGGAGCTCTCAGATTTTCGACGTGGTCAGCGTGGAGCTTTATTTTGGAAGAGTAGCCTTGTGACAGTGTGTGCCTGCCTTGGAGGGGAGAGGGACCTGGGCACTGAGGATCCACGTGGGAGGTTGAGTAGTCCAGGCCTGGGAGAGTGAGGTCTGGGCCAGGACGGTGGCCCCGGGAGCGTGAGCGAGGAGGCAGAGGCGGGCTGTCACAGGCTCGATTTGGCAGCTGAGCGGGTATGTCTGCTTCAGTGTGGAAGGTTCAGGAGCAGGGAAGGGTCAGATTGCTGTCCCCAGGGTCTGGGAACCCCGATTCTGTGCTATTAGGGGTTTGAGGGTTTGTTTTCTCTTGTTACAAACTAAATTCGAGATTAGCTTATAAAACATAACGTGAAATAAAACTTGGGATATACCTTCTGGTTTTATTTGCAAGTAGTGCCTTAATATATGTCTGTTTTGGTGTGTTCATTTAAGGATTTTTAGTAGAAGCTGAAATGGAAGGATTAGGATTTAAAAATTTCTGAGATATTGGGGTGCCTGGGTGGCTCAGTTGGTTAAGTGTCCGACTTCTGCTCAGGTCATGATCTTGCGGTTCGTGAGCTTGAGGCCCTCATCGGGCTCTGTGCTGACAGCGTAGAGCCTGGAGCCTGCTTCAGATTCTGTGTCTCCTTCTCTCTTTTCCCCTCCCCTGCTCGCTCGCTCTCTCTCTCTCTCTCTCTCAAAAAATAAATAATAAACGTTAAAAAAAAGAATTAAAAGAAACATTTCTGAGATATTGTTATACTTTGGAACCTCCCCAAATGGAGCTCTGCTTTTGACTTTTTAAAGCTCACCGAACTAGTAGGTGAGTCACCCGAGTTTTACTCAGACCAGCTCAGGTTGTAGCCATCATATGCTGTGTATCACATGAGAGAAGCTTGGTTTGAGGCTTGGTTATGTCTCTGCTGTCTTCTTGGTGGACAGGCCATCGGCAGTACCGTTTCAGAGGAGAGGGTTCCCAGGGCAAGAGTGGGGGCCAGGACTCTTTCCTTCCCTTCCATCCCGAGAAGCCCTCTCTGACATGGGCTTTGTGCGGGCAAGCTGGTGGTGGCTCTCAGCCATTCTCACTGGGTTGAAGTTGACCTCCTGGCCATTAGTTTTGGTTTGGCCCCTAAGTGAGCAGGGATGGGGGCGAGAAATGTGTTGTGAGGAGCACGAGGCTCCTCGCTGGCTGTGGGTTCTGAGCCATGGGGCTGGGAGCACCCATGCGTCCAGGGAGGACCTTGGGAAAGGACAAGGGCTCTGTGCCCGCCAAGACGTGTGTTCCCACGTCGAGCGAGGGGCTCTCATCTTCCAAGTGGACTCCCTGCCCTGCTGGCACCACAGACCTCATTCAGGCCATTGCTAATGTTGGTTCATCTAGCAGAATGCACTTTAATGAAGAAAAACCTTTCAGGTGTTTTCTTCTCTTGCTGAAGACCTGTAAAGGGTTTGATATAAGAGCATTAGAATGAATTTGAACCATCTACCATTTAACCTCAGTATTATGTAGTATTTGATTATAGATCAAGTTGAATTCTTTTGCTTCTGTGTTTTTATTCAGGTGAATGACCTGTGTCTAGTTTATTCAGTATCTTCCCAAATATATGTGCCTCTTTCTTAACGAGCAGGCTCTTGGTTTCGTTGCTCTTCTGTTCTACTTTGCCCCCGAAGTGAAATTTTAATTGCCTTTTAGTTTTCTTCCGGGCTGCTGCTGGAATGAGCCTGCGACCAGCTCTCTTGTGTTCCGTTGCAGGCGCTGATGGACTCGAATCTTCCGCGGTTACAGCTTGAACTCTATAAGGAAATCAAAAAGGTAGGCTTTTGTTTTCTCTTACTGAAGGAAGTGGTAACTGTGTCACTGCATGGAGCGGTAGACGTGAACTCTTGTCTTTTATTTAGTAAGTGGGAATGTGAGAAGGAAATGCTGTTTGGTAAAGCAGACTTCACTGTTTTATTTTTCTTTGCAAGGTTGCTCTTCATTATTTCATTATTTATGAGAGGAGATGGGAATTAGTTTCTGTATCTGTGTAAGTGAAGCCCCTCGGCCGCGACGTTTCTGCAGTGGTTACGCTTGTGCGTGGCCTTGTCTCTAAAACGTAGAAATAAGCAATAAACAGATGCTCTTGTGTCTGTGAGGACCCTTTGGTGCATAGTGTCCCTGACTCTGAAATGTAACGTGTCACTCTCCCCGCCCCCCCCTCCTCAGAATGGCGCTCCCCGGAGCCTGCGTGCTGCCCTGTGGAGGTTTGCGGAGCTGGCTCACCTGGTTCGGCCTCAGAAATGCAGGTAGGCGGCGCGCTCTGGCCTATTAGCGCTGTGCGTTGGTGGGGAGCCAGCTCCTGTGGATTCTGTACCTCTCAGCTCAAGTGTCTTCCCTGAGCTCCGGCTAACGCTGTCCACCACTGCCTTCCACATCGTGGCCGGTGTTTCCTGCTTCTGTTCTCATCATAGCACTTCTCAGAAGCACTCTGGGACACTGTCGGTGTGCGTGTTCATTTTCTGTCCACCCACGCCCCCAAGAGACAGAGGCACGCCCCCCAGGATAGTGGGGTCTTCCCTGTGTGTCCTCTGTGGCAGCACGGCCCCGGTGACCGTGTCTGCACGTGCTCGTCGCCGAGCAGATGCTCATCATGTGGTTGAAGGTTGAGAACCGGTCTCATCATTGCTTGCCGTAGGAATTCTCTAGAAATATGCCTTTGTCTCTCATATGGGTTCGAACTGTGAGTGTTAAACTGAATAAAGTTTGACTGGTGGCAACAGTCTGTCCCCAGTGGATTGAGAATCAAAAGAAGTCCCTGGTTTTTAATCTGTGCCTTCTTCTCCTTAACCAGCAAGACTGATGTCCAGAGGCCCTGGGCTGCGTCCCGGAGGAACCGGTGCAGGGGCCCCGACCCTCACTGTTAGTGGGAAACCACGATTTATCCCACTGATTTTGAGTTGAACAAGAATCTTATGTGGCTGTGGAGATACATCACTAAGGAAATTTCTTTTTATGCAACTTTTTTCTTTTACTATCCATATTTTGAAATTTTTTTTATATCTTTGAAGCAGCACATCCCAAGTTCTCCACACAGCAGCCCAGGTGACCTTAAAAAATGTGATCGGGTCATGTCATTTCCTTACTTAAACTTTCTACTGAAAGTCATTTCCCAGAGCTGTTGAGATAAAATCCGGACTCCTTACTCGGGGAGGTCTTGCCTCCACTGACTACCATCTCGGCCACTGTCTGTTAACACATTGGCCTGATGTTGCTTCTTTGCACGTTTCTTTGTTCCTTGTGGCTGGTTTATTTTTTTCAGGCAAAATAGTCCCTTAGTCCCAGGTGTAGGCCTGCTCTTCTCCGCCACCAGAGGGCGCCTGTTCACACTGGGCGCGTGTTTGTGAGGGGTCTCCTGTGGTTTCCGCTCTGCTGTCCAGTGACTCCCTTCTCCTGCATCCTGCACGGTCTGCTTTTCCTCTCTGGAGGGCCACGTCTTATCTCGAAGACCGTATTTAGTTTGGACACTTAAAAATATTTCCTTGCAAAGCTCCTTTTCCAAGAAAATGTTTCATTTCTTAACTTTTATTTGTTACCTATTATTTTCTGATTTAAAATATGAATACTTCACTGTTATAATTTACTACGAACGGTTTTTCAAACAAGGTGAGAGTCCTGTGTGATTACAGAGAAATGAAGGATGAACGTCTCCCAACATTGGAACTTGGTGTGCATTTAGCCCCCCCTGATCTTTTTGTCTACTTTCTGTTAAGGACTGTTTTGCATATGAAAACTGGCTCTTCCCTAACAGGTACTAAACTAATTGTTTCTATTCCTCAGTAAAGTAGACCTGGAAGAATAACTCATGTTCCTTTCATACATGCAGGCCTTACTTGGTAAACCTTTTGCCTTGCCTGACTCGAATAAGCAAGAGACCCGAGGAATCTGTTCAGGAGACCTTGGCTGCAGCTGTACCTAAAATCATGGCTTCTTTTGGCAATTTTGCAAATGACAATGAAATTAAGGTACGATTATCACCGTAAGTCACAAATGTGAATGAGTCTTGTGGGCTTTTTGGACAGGCCATCGTGTGAGAGCACGTCTTGAGTTATATTGTGCTTCATAATTTAAGTTAAAATGTTTTTAATTATTTCTTATTTATTTATTTTTTTTTTCAACGTTTATTTATTTTTGGGACAGAGAGAGACACAGTATGAACGGGGGAGGGGCAGAGAGAGGGGGAGACACAGAATCGGAAACAGGCTCCAGGCTCTGAGCCATCAGCCCAGAGCCTGACGCGGGGCTCGAACTCCCGGACCGCGAGATCGTGACCTAGCTGAAGTCGGACGCTTAACCGACTGCGCCACCCAGGCGCCCCATGTTTTTAATTATTTCGAGGCACACAGACAGCTTCTTTCGATTTCTTCTTTCTTATTGTGGGGTAGAGTTAAGTAAGGAGATGGTTTATAGATGCAAATTCAGAAGGTGGTTTTCTAGAACAGATTGGTTCTTGGTATATTAGGTGGACTCCTTAACCTAGCTGGGGAGAGGTGACTGTCCCAGAAGTGCAGGCAGGAGAAAGCTCACTGATGGTCCCCTGCAGCCAGTGGGGACCACTTGACCTCTGTTCTGTGCCCAACAAGCAAAATAAGCAGCCTCCACACTCATGTTTGTGTTTTATTTAGTTTAAATTTTTTTTAAGTTTGTTTATTTATTTTTGAGAGAGAGACCGAGAGAGTGAGCCTGGGAGGGGCAGAGAGAGAATGAGGGAGACAAAGAATCCCAGGCCGGCTCCATACTGTCAGCACAGGGCCCGATGTGGGGCTTGAACTCACAAACCGTGAGATCACGACCTGAGCCGAAACCAGGAGCTGGACTTCTAACCGACTGAACCACCCAGCTCCCCCTGTGTTTTATTTTTAATGACCAGAAATTGTGACCCTGCCACATGAGGATTCTTGACTTCCTCCTTTTTGTGGGCCATTCCTTTGTTAGTGTTTCTTTTGGCATTTCCATCCACATTTCTAGATAACATGCTATATAGCATATATATCGTAGCAATATACAGCTAGGTGGCTTGGTTTTTTTTGTTTGTTTGTTTGTTTTGTTTTTAAATGAGTGATAAATTTAGTTCTAACTGGCTCCCATCTTCTTACTATAGTTACGTTAGTATTCAGCGTGGCATTTCATGCCCAAGTAATAGTCACAACAATGTTCCATGCTAGGATTCTATTTCTTTGTAGAACTTTTTGGTTTTTTGGGAGTTAATAATTGCCTCTTTTTTATTTTGCTTGTTATTCTTTGGCCATTGATATCTTCTCATACTTTCCAACAGCTTTGTAAAATGTGTCTCAGTGCAATTCTGCACATGGCAGACCATGTATTGGGTCCATTTTCTCCACCAGAGTCCTCTGACCTAGAATTCTCCAGCTATCTGCCTCGGTCTGGTCCGGATGCTCTTTAGGCCTGAGGTGCAGTTGTATCTTCAGACTTTTCTTTGCTGTCATCCTAGGAATCGTTTTTGCTGCTTTCCTTTTGGACGCCTGATTTCTGGATGCCATACCTTTACCTTTCTAGGCATACTTCCTTGTTTTGATGGAATTTTGTGTCATCTCTTATTTCTGTTTTCCTTTTCTTTTTTCTGTACTTTCTAGACGTCCATCTCAAACCCTTCTGTTGTGTTCGTTAATATCTAAGAGCTCCTTGTGTCCAGAATGATTATGTTTTCTGGCATCCTCTTCCTGCTTCATGAATATACTCTTCTCTTTCTGAGGATGGATTACAGTTTTCTTGACAACTTTTTTTGACTTCTGTTTCTTCTGACTTCTTCTGTTCTGGTCTTTCTCTGTTACGTTGGCACTTGTGCATTTAGATTTGAGTGAGACTCTAAAAAGCTGATTGGAAGCAGGTGTATGGTGGGGACTTGTCCCCTGGTGAGCTTTCCGAGGTGATGGATGGTGAGCCTGCTTTCCCTCTGTGAGTCTGCTTCTTTCGGGGTCGACTATTTTTAGGATGACATTTTATCTTTTTTGGTTTATTAGCTGTAACTCTTTGTTGTGCTTTTAATTGTTACCTGGTTCTTACGTAAGATAGTTTTCAAACTCGTGAAAGTAGGCGATCACGCCTTTTTTGGATATTTTTGTTAAGACTTACATGGCCACCATTGGTATTCTAGCACCATCTCCTTTGGGTCAGCCTGTTGCTTCAGAGACCAAGGCGTCTTCTCCTGCTCCTTAGGAAACACCCGCGGGCATTGTGCTGCTGCAGTCCAGCTTGTTCGCGGGTGTTGCAGGCCAGGAAGCACCTCCCGGTGACACTAGCAGCACAACTGCAAGCCGTCCCTCAGGCTAGGACGTGGCTCTAGTTGGTGACTACTCTCTTCTCCTTGACTTTGTCATTTTCATTTTCGTTGTTGTTGTCATTGTTGTTTTTTACTGCCTTTATTTTCCAGTGTCATTTGCTGACCCTGTACCCAAATGCTGTGGGCACACCTTTTCCAGAAGCTCAGGTGTTCACTCTTGGGTACAGGACGTACGTCCTGAACAAGGTCCCTACTTACAGTTTATAGGGAAGTAAGTAGACTGCATGTTTGCAGACTGCTCTGGAATGTCCCGAATTTGGGATGCTACGGGAAAGTCCATTTGTTTACAACCTACACTCTGTGAGAATTTGGAGTACGTTTTCTGAAATAAAATGATAAGCTTCATAGGAGTTTGGTTTATCTACTTGGACTTGTGTTTCCCTAGGTTCTATTGAAGGCTTTCATAGCGAATCTGAAGTCAAGCTCGCCTACCATTCGGCGTACTGCAGCTGGCTCAGCAGTGACCATCTGCCAGCACTCCAGAAGGACGCAGTACTTCTATAGCTGGCTACTGAACGTACTCCTGGGTAAGATGCAGCGTGGTTGGGATTTTCCCCACCGTGTGGCACAGTCTCTCGCATTTGCCTGACACAGAGCTTTTTTTTTTTTTTTTTTTTTAATTAGAGCGTGTGTGCAGTGGGAGGGGCTGAGGGATAGGGAGGGAGAATCTTAAGCAGGTTCCACACTCATCGCAGAGCCTCGTGCAGGACTGGATGCTACGACTCTCAACCCAAACCAGGAGTTGGACATTCAACCAACTAAGCCACCCAGGCACCCCCTGAGACAGAGCTTTTAAATTCTTTAAAATCGGGCACCCCTCATCTCCCAGCCCCGGCCCTTTGGCACCGGCTGACCACTGAATGGGAGCTATGGGGAGGCTGCCGTGAGCCCACGTCGGGCCTTTGTGATGGCTAGGAAAGGGCCCCTTCTCTAGGACAGCTCGCAGGGCAGTGGCTGTGAGGCAGCGTGCCACCCCGCGCACCTGGCCTGGCCCTCGTGCCGCAGACTGCACACTGTACGTGCCAGCAAGGAGCATAGTGAGTCCCTGAGGCCTCTCGCAGGCTCCCCGTGCAGGTGTGGGTCTGCTCCCGGTTTCTCCTGTACTTGGGGTGGTTGTGGAAATCAACGCTAGCCAGTGCTGAGGGGGCCGTGTGGACATTTGATATGAAAGAACTGCCTGCCTTTCAGATGCAGCCAGACTCACTCTAACGGGCCTCGCTCAGCCCAGGACGTAAAGCTGCTCCTTTAAAGCCACTCCCGGAGTTTGGCCTGAAGATGAGATACCTGTGTGTTTTTCCACAGTAGTGTTTGTCCATCTTGATTCCTCACTGCCAACCTCGTAATACGGTTCTCCTGTGGATCTCTTCTTTTAAACAAGCGAAGCTGTGAATCTCCAAGCAGATGATGATAAGAAATCTTACTGCTGCCTTTCTAGGCTTGCTGGTTCCTGTTGAGGACGAACACTCTACCCTCCTGATTCTCGGAGTGCTGCTCACGTTGAGGTATTTGGTGCCCTTGCTGCAGCAGCAGGTCAAGGACACGAGCCTGAAAGGCAGCTTTGGGGTGACACGGAAAGAAATGGAAGTCTGTCCCTCAACTGAGCAGCTCATCCAGGTAGGAGCCACGTGGCGCACTCTAGTGCCTGTATATAAATGACATTCAGAGAATCAAATAATTTGGAAGAGAAATGGCAGAGCCGAGGATTAATAGTCTCTGCAGCTGGGCCACCTGGTTCCGATCCTAGGTCACGACCCCTAGCTGTGTGACCTCTGTATGGCACATTCCCTGCATGAAGGTAATCTCTCACGAGGCTACCGAGAATGCTGTACCCTGTTTGTAAAGCCAGGACTTGTGAAATGTGCTCATTCGTACAGTAAGTATTTATTGAGCATCCACTGTGTGCTTGGCACTAGGGCAGGTGCTGGGGATGCAGTGGTGAGCTCTTTCGGTGTGGTCTCTGCCCCGGAACCCGTGGTCTGGTGTACTGGTCTCTCTACCCGGGGAGTTAGGAACATGGTCCCCTGGGGCATAGGAACAATATGTTAAAACTTCTCTTTGCAGTATAGAGAAACCCTGTATACATTCTGATACGATGTGATCAGCAGCTGACTTCAGCAGTTGACTTCATTCTTTGTGGTGTGCTCATCCAGGTTATTTTGTTAACCTTGAGTGTGGCTGCGTTTCAAGCAATTTCATAAGCTTGGCTTAACACGTTAGGGTTTTCACCATATTTCGTGTACTGGATGCTACTGAAGCCCTTACCTTTCCTGTAAGTCACATGGTCATATGGTGTATATAGGAGTCGAGGCATACAACCTGGGGTCTTGAGAGGGGTGCCTTGGTTCTGTTTTCTGCTTTCCACATATCGATGACGTTGTAGTTCATAGGTATTTATTTGGGCCAAGTGGACTTATGAGTTGTGTCCCTTACCTAAACTTTGTAGGGTACAAAATTTTAAGTGGCTTAAAATAATTCTTGCATAGAATTGATGACTCGAAGGTAATGCTTTAATGATTTAGGCATTGAGTTAGGTAATATTTGTAAAGTGCTTAGAATATTTCCTGGTGCGTGGTAAGGCCCTGGGAGTGCTGGTTAATGAAAAATAACTGAGAAGGAGCAGGCTCTAACAAAGTTTGGGGTCTGACAGTTCACTCCAACCAGCCGTCCTTCTGCTGTCTTCTAGAATATCAGTAATGACGTTCTCAGGAGATATGACGATTACATATTGCCCTCTCAAAAAACCATTACTGAATGTTTTAGTGAGTAAAACAGGTTTTCTAGAGGTAATAATACATTTAAAAAATGGTTATTTCATTCTTATCTTGCTTGTTTACGTTTTATTATGGTGATTTCCAGACATACAAACGCAGGTGGAATAGCCTTTAGTAATTATCGCCTGTGTTAATAATTATAAACTCAGGGTCAATTATGGTTCTCTCATTATCCCTTTTTTTGCATTATTTTGAAGCAAATTCCAATCATTGTATCTTGAAGTATACCAGTTCGTATCCTTCTTTGTTTTTACAACTTAATGACAATGCCATGGTCACACCTAAAAAGAAAAGAACATTTCCTTAACATCAGTCATCCACTCATCCTGTCAGTTGTTTACTTTATTCTTTTGGAATCAGTATGCAAGTGAGATTGGCTGACAAGGACCGTGACTCTCTTTGGTCTGATGGTCACTTCCATCGTGAGTCCATTTGTTGAAGGGACACATTGTCCGGTGGCAGTCCTGGCCGTCTGATTGTTACAGTTTTGTAAGTGAACATATTTGTTTTCTGTATTTCCTATAAATTGATAACCAGCTAGAGTCTTGTCAGATTCAGTACACATTTTATGATGTGCATGATATCTGAGCTCTGTAAGTACTCGTATAATATTTTAAAATAAATACGTAAGTACTGCAGTTCCATACTCAGAATTTTTTTCTGATGTTTAAAGAAATGCTGCTTGGTCAAGAAACCTTGGAGATCATTAGTCTACTGGGAGAAGCAAGCCAATAATCACTAGACGGCGTGGTGAGGCGGTGGGTTCGGGGTGCTCTGGAAGCACAAGTGAGGAGGCCCCTGCATGACCAAGGTCAGGGAGGTGTGGCCGAGAGGCTTGGTTACGAGCTGATGGTGATGGTGGGTAGGATTTGACCAGACGCCCGGAGGTGGGAGAAGTTTATAGGCAGACACTACAGCCTTTGCCAAGTCCAAGGAGTGAGCATGCGTGTGCAGATGGGAACCGATGTGGGTCCCACGAGGTCTCAGGGCTCCTCGCCGATTAGCAGGGGCGCTGGTGAAAGTCGTGTGAGGCTAGAGGGATGTTGGAAACTACGTCAGACTGGGGCAGCAGTGATCCTGGGAGGACCGAGTGAAGGGTATGGGGTGCGGAGCTTAAGTACTCATCTTCTTAATGGTGACTTTTCTCCAAAGTGAGCAAATGATACTGCACAGCACTGAATGAGCATGCAAGACACGATTATCTCTAAATCATATTTTAATCCATTTTCTTTTGGCTGATAGCCATTCTGACTTAAATTGTTTTGAGTAAGAAGTTCAACTCTGCCAATGTAATTTAGCTAACTACAGTATATTTAAATAGAACTTAAAGTAATCCTGAGCCTGGCTAAATTATAAACTGTAAAGTAAGTGTGGGCAAAATATAGATACTTTAAAAACATTTTTTGTTTAAAGTTTGTTTATTTTGATAGAGAAAGCTTGCGCAGGAGTCGGGGAGGGTCAGAGAGAGAGGGAGAGAGAGAGAGAATCCCAAGCAGGCTCCATACTGTCAGATCAGAGCCTGATGCAGGGCTTGATCTTAAGAACCTTAAGATCATGACTTGAGCCAAAATCAAGAGTTGGACGCTTAACCGAGCCGCCCAGGCCCCCTGGATACTTTTAGATATGCAAGAACTTAGTTTGCTTATCATTGTATGCTTTTTGAAAAACTTATTGGAAGGTGTATTCCAGCAAAATGAGAAATAGATACAAAAAAAGAGGAAAGCCTGAAATCCATAAGCCAAGACCTAACAACCCAGAAATGTGGTAGAAGTATTGTAGGAGGGACTGGTGAGCAGCAAACCATCCAGATTGGGAACGGGGCTTGGAGGAGCTCCACGAAACTGCCCACAGCGAATGTCAGGATTAAGAAGCCGGGAAAAAGGCGCGTGTATGTATTTACAAGGAGGGGAAAGAGCAGTGAAGAGCAGTTCTAGGAGAACCAGGAAGATTCATTAAAGGGTGTTATGCTCCAGCTACGAAGCAAATTCCAGTGTCAACTAATTTTAAGCAAATCTTGGGTTATGAGAAAAGAGAATCTGTTTATTATCTTTGGGACATTCTCTTTTAAGTGACACAGCACTAGTAAAAATGAAATGTTTCTTTTTGGGTCCGGTCACACGAACGGCCTTTGCAGTAAATAGTGTGTATGTACACATGATAAGATACATGCTGGAGTTTTGTTTGTTTTATTTATTTATTTATTTATTTTTTCCAACGTTTACTTATTTTTGGGACAGAGAGAGACAGAGCATGAACGGGGGAGGGGCAGAGAGAGAGGGAGACACAGAATCAGAAACAGGCTCCAGGCTCCGAGCCATCAGCCCAGAGCCCGACGCGGGGCTCGTATTCACGGACCGCGAGATCGTGACCTGGCTGAAGTCGGACGCTTAACCGACTGCACCACCCAGGCGCCCCCATGCTGGAGTTTTAATATTTATTTGCGTTAATTTAT